AAATGTATATAATTAAAACTTTCTTTTGAAACTAAGCTATTTAATTATATAAAAACATGAATTTTTTATTGGTCGAAAAGTATATATCGAATACAAGAAAATGTTATTAGAAAATATCTTACAATTACATTTTAATTTTCAATATTAACTTGAATATCAATTAGAAAAATAGAAAATACAACATAAGAAATCTTAAGTGATATTAGCTTCTTCCTATTTTCATGAACAGAACTATGAATCTTGAAAGAAAATACACTATTATGCAATTAAAATTTTTAATAGAACTTCCATACATGAATCTTCACGTATGTTTCCTTTGTTGCACTTAACTTTGTTTGCTCAACCCCCTTTCCACGGTGAATTTTTTCAGACGGCTGCACCGAATACCGCATCCCTCAAGGGGTTAATTTTATTTCGGCTATTTGGGCAACATGCGAATCGAAGACGTTCATCACAAAGGAATCTGTCATCAGGACACACGATAATAGTACATACGTCGACACATGTCGTCGAAAGAGTTCAGTGTCAAACGTCAGCGATTTGTTTTCATGATGTATGGAACGATATGGTTGCACAACGTCGATTTATCGCTGACGAATGTTATTGGTGACTCGTGATCAGCATGAAGGCAATATCTTCACGGACGAGTCGTCGAGATGTCGAGCGAGCCGATTTTAAAAATCAATTCATCTCCACGCGCCTGCGGATAACGCAGTTGATGTCCAGCTTTTAATACGTTGTTAAGATTGGTATTGAAATGGAATGATCGTGTTTCAAGTGTGGACAAAATAGGAAAGTACAAAGTAGGGGTAAAAGATCATATTTAATAATTAATTACATTGGCAATTTATATCATTGCTGGTAATTAATAGAATGTTAGTTAAAGTATTCACTCTGATCACTGTTATTGAATTATTATTATCAAAAACAATATAGAATTTGATAATAAATAATTATAAAAAAATAATAAAATAAATAAAATATTAAAATGTTAGAATAATGTAACATTAAAAACAAAGAATTAATACTATGTACAGATGAAAAAAGATATTTTAATATTGAAATTAAAAGTAATTTAAATAAAGATAAATATATTTTGAAATATATGAATTCAAATTATCTATATTCATTGCTATATTCAATGATAGTAAACTTGCTGATGAAACAATCACTTTTTCAAATAGATAATCAAAAACGTATTTATAAGTATGAATTGTTTTTAAAATTGATTGTTTGTTACTAAGAAAAATAAATTATTTCTATCATTATAATGAATATTATTAAATACTTTTAGGTGTTGGAAACATATTAACGAACCAATCGAGAACGTGTTATCTTATCATCGCTACAGTCTAACTTCTCCCAAATGCGTAATTCTAGTATATAAAAGATAACATTTCGCCTCGTGGTCAATGAGATTTTATTTGAAATCTTACTTGTTCGCTTGTAGAGAAATCAGAATCCGGAATACGAGATATGCAACTTGATCTTATGCTCATCTCAATTTCAGTCTCTCTTCTGGGCAAACATCGCTTCTTGACTATCTTGCAATCTTGCTTAACGAGTTCTAACCAATGATTCAGACATTCATCCACACTGCGTTTAGATTGTAGTATATTTTTACATTATGTATCATTAATCATTAAATCAATGATTCGAGTTATAATTGAATTTTTCAATTTTGATAAACATAAATAATAAATACATTACATTGATCTCAAAATTTTTATATTTACTAATATGATGGAATATTGTAAGTAGTAGTGGTGCATTGGAATATTATTACATAAAAATTTTGATGAATAAGCATATTAAAGATTAAAAATCTTTCTAATTTTATATTTTATTTATATAAACAAATGAATATTCGAATGCATTGAATATAAAAAATATATATTTGCCAGATGAATCATCATGAATCTAAAATCATTTTTTTTTTACTATCATAAAAATTAAATTATTTTAAACGAAACAAATATTTATATTTTAATATCATTGTTATATTATGTATATTACGCTCAAATTTCACAAATGCTTTCGATCTTTATTCTAAAAAAATTTCTAAAAAAAATACATATATAGCTATTATATTATAAATGAAACTCAATATTCAATGTTTTCAGATTTTGAATGGAATTAAATAACGATTGCATGAATATTTAAGAAGAGGATAAACGATTAGATAATTATAATGATTATAGTAACTATTATACAATCATGAAAATAATGTTATAAATATTTTATAATATTTTATTTTTTTGAATCTTTTTGTTCCAATTTTTAAATTGGATTATCTAACAATAATATTTATTTAGTTATTTAATTTCTAACTTTATAAATCATTATATTTAAATTATTGCTAAATTTAATTTTTTATAAATTTTTAAATTGCATTTTAGTTTAATATAATCTTAATATTTCTAAGCTCTTTTCTTTTTTTTTTTTAGTTTTTTTTACCACACACTTCAATATTCACCTATTCATATTGGGATCAACCGAGTTTCATCTCGTAAAAGTGCATGGACAATTAACATCGCATCCATTCACGTAAGCACGATGGCATTACGGCAAGGAAAAAAAATAAGCGTCCATTCATGAAAACTCTTATCTACATGCATACCGATAACTAACCCTAGTTCATTCACACGTTGCTTGAAACAGCTTGCATTTATTACTATTATTTTTTTCTTTATCTAAGAAAAATTAAATTTAATAAAAATTTACTTAATTTTTATTTAATTTTTTTTTTATAGAATCAAGAATTTTCATTTCACTATCAATTCTTATTCTTCAATTAAATATATCTTAATTCAATTTATCAAATATAATTCAGAAAATCAGGATTTATTTTAAATTTTTATTTTATATTCTTGTTAATCCACGAACATTTCATTCATCTAGAAATTCTTTGGAGAAACAAGTTACATTATCGAAACAGAAGAACATCATCGAATCCCATCACGTGCAGACGCATTGCAATACAGGCCAGGTTCGAGGCACTGTGCAGGATATGTGACGCAAATCGAATGCATGCCGTTCTGTTTACATACATACGAGATAAGAGTTTGTCCTGGGTCAAGGCTGCACGCAGTTTGATAATCCAATTCAGATAACGGGAATGTTGTATGTAGCTGGTGGACCTTGAGTATATTATATATATACATGTATGTATCACGACTGAGCTACGAGAGAGAAGAGAAACATCCTAAAGAGAATACACGAATGAACGCAAGGCGTTCTCAGTGACTCATTTCACGAGCAATTTGTCAAATCATCTGCCCCTTCTATCCCCTCAAGACCCGCTCTCGTTCCCTCTCCTCCGGGCGGAAAGACTCACGTTTATCGTGAATAGTACGCCTAACGTGCGCACGTGACATTTCGAGTATCTCGAATTAAACTGTAAACATCGTAGTACGCGTCGGTTGAAGCCCAGCCACGCGGACGGTGTCAATGATCCTACTATTTATTGGATCGTTGCTTACGCACGCCGTCGCTGTATACATGTATGTGTGTATGTGCGGGCATCTCTTTCCTTGTCTCACTTTCGTCAGCCGTGACCTCGTCAGTTATTTCGTCTGTCTGCCTCTTTATCTTCTGAATCTCCTTGCGAGACCCAATTTTCGAAAGCTTTCATTGAGATATATCACAATGAATGATACATTACGGAAGGACGGTTTTGTTTTGTTTTATGATCTATGGGATGTCTGGAAATTTAACCCTGTTATGTGTTAGGCGTTTTTGATGTTATGATACTGTCAAAACCAGATATTATAGAATATATTGAATTATCTCTATTTCAAACTAAGAGATTTCACGTTTTAGTGCATGATTTCTATAGTTTTAGAGGAATTTATTGATAAGTATTATAAAAAAATAGGATTCTTATAGTAAAATATTAAATTAAAGGTGAAATTTTCAATTATAATTGAATATTGCAATGTGGAATTCATTTGTTTTCTTAATAAAAGATCATACAAAGATCTTATACAATATTACTATTATTATTATTAAAACAAATCATACTATTAAAGAGTATCAGAGCTTTGTATTCTTTGCAAATCTGATAGAGATTAGAAAATTCTTCTTTAAATAATCATGATGCAAATGTATCAATATTAATCAGCTGATTTTATAATCCCTTCTGGATTCTTTCCAACAACTGTACATGCTTTTCAACGTTCCATCTCGCCACTCTCCATCTCTACCGATTCTCCGTCACGATTCATAGGGGTATAGGTAAACGACATCCGCGTCCGAGTGGGCACGTGCGTGTGCTTTCTGCGTTCGCGTGTCCCGTAGTTTGTGTCGTTGACTGAGGGTGGTGGTGATCGTAGTGGTAGTGGCGAAAAGGGGGAAAAGGGTGACGGAGGAGGGAGAGCAAGCACGTGTGAGGACGTAGTACGATTTACTCGCAGATCGGTGGAACGTCTTCCTCATTCCCTCCCTCGCCCTCTTTCTCGTCGATGGGCTGTCTTTCTTTCTCTTGCACCCCTTCCCTCTATCGCGTACTTCTCTTCCTCATTCTCCTCCTCTTCGTCGTTCCTCCTCCTCCTCCACCTCTTCCACCACCTCCTCCTCC